GTCTTATAGTAGAGACTGCAAGCATTTGCAGTGTTTCATTCAGCATTCGTTAGACCTCATCTAGAGTGTTTTATCAATTTTCCAACCTCACTTAAACCTCCAAATAAGACAGATATTGATAAACTTGAGTCAGCCCATGGGAAGTTTTTTTCAGCCTGGAGAGAAGGTGATCAAGGCAGCCTGATCATAGCCTCCCTGTGCCTCTAAGGTCATCAGGATCACAGAATCACAGAATTACAGAATCACAGAATCACTTCGTTGGAAGACACCTTTAAGATCATCGAGTCCAACTCATGCCCTGACACCTCAACTAGACCATGGCACCGAGGGACACATCCAGGGGTGGTGACTCCACCACGTCCCCAGGCAGAGCATTCCTGTACTTTATCACTCTTTCTGTAAAAGACTTTTTCTTAATATCTTACCTATATTTCTCTTGGCACAGGTTAAGACTCACAGTGGTGGGCATTGGGAGGCTAAGGGACAATGGGCACATATTGAGGCAAGAGAGGTTCACACTGGATATAAGGAAAAATGTTTTCACCATTGTAACATCAAACAGTCAAGTGGTGGAGCAGATGGTGCAAGGATGCAGGGCAGTCTCCCTCCTCGGGGGCTTTAAGCTGAGTCAGAAGAAAGCCATGAGCAGCCTGATTAAATCTCAAAGCTGACCCTGCTTTTAGCTGGAGATTGGATGAGACACGTCCTGAAGTCCATTATAACCTGAACTATCCTATGATCTTATATTGTGAAGAAAATTTTTTTCTGATATTGCTTCAATGCTTCTGGTATCAGCAAGAGAATTCTCACCTGTCTAATAATTTCAACGGTTCTCTCCACATCTGAGATTTATCTCTCCTAATAAAGGGAATGTAATGTAATGTAAAACTAAGGTTTGTAAAGAAGGAGCATGTAGGGCTGATGATAGGAATACATCTACACCATACAATGGAATTCAGTGCAGAATTCCCTGAGTTAGAACAAACCCATCTCTCTCCAAAACTCAATATACTAAAGTTAAATGAGCATGGAGAATATGGAGTGAATTAATTGACTGAGAGGTGGTATCTTTGCATTCAGAAACAGGGTGATAAAACACAGTTAAGTTTCTTTTGGGTTTTGGGGAAAACCCCTTCATATGCACATTGTTCTATGACAGCAGCTTCCACAGAGGTGATGATGTGCTTGTGGTGGGTCTCTGGCTGAAACACAGATCTGACTGTAGAGAACTAAATGCATGCCAAAACACAGTTTATTATGGGATACTTCAAGTCTTTTGTGACATCCTCACGGTAAGCAAACAGGCTGTTTTTGCAATCTTTTATAAATGCTGTGAAACCGACTTCTATCAAATGGATGCTCTTTATTAACAAAACTTCTATCGTTATGCTGCCAGCCATCCTCATTTAAACCCTTTGAGCTGGGAGGTTATCATAGATACATTGTGTTGCATATAGAAATAATTGGGTTTTTTACTTGCCACTATACATATCCCAGAGACTGCTCAGTGCACAGAAAGAAAACCAAAATTCAGACAACCCTGACAGCAGAAAAAAAGTAGCTTTCAGGGCATACATACCCAAGAACACAAAAGTTTTAAAGGTATTACAGAGCAGAAGAAGCAAGACTATTAAATGTAAGACATTATTGTTTCTGACCACAGGCTAATATCACTTTTCTACAACTAAAAACTTGCTCTTCCCTAGAAATATTGAATGAAATAAAATGTTCTATTCAGCCTTTGGTTTTCAACAGAACTCAGAGGAATGCAAACTGTAAGAACAAATATTTTCTAGATCAGTACTTTTGCCAGCATTGAAGAAAGTGAAATTATACTTTAAAAAAATGGAGTTTGCTGTTTCAAAACTGAAGAAAGCATCTGATTAAATGATGAGTTATGTAATTTCTTGCCATTTTTACTGCTGTTTCAAATCTCTGCATTATTAATAAATGTAAGTGCCTAAATGTGAAATTTATTTATCAGTATTACACTGAAAAAGTGAACTCTACAGCAAGATGACAAATTTAAGTTTTCTCCATTGTATTCTGCCTTAAATACAAATTAGGGATAAATTGATATCAATTTATATCTCAGGAAGCTTTGCTGCTCATTTACTTCTGCTTCTAAAACTAAATCAGTGTCAAGCACCATTCTAGGACACACTGTATTGCTAGAAATGCTTGAATGGATTTTTAATTCTGAAGCACTGGTAAAAATATGAATTAGCATCAATACAAACACTCTACAATTATGTCAATGTGAACATAATCTGAATCTGACCCATTCTTTTAAAAGACATAAAGCTCATATTGTAATTCCTTTTGTCAACAGAAAAGTCATTGCCCAGATCACATTTTAATTAACCACCCTGAATTCCCTTTGCAGATTCAATTAAGGAAAGAGATTATTCTTCACTCTTGTCCTAACCTGTCCTTCAAAGTGACAGTGCAGTTTACTGATATATTATCAGTTAGGGATTCTGAGGAAGTGTTCTAGGAGTTGTTTGGACATTTCACAATTATTAATAGAATTCATTATTAGAAAAAAAGGGGGAAGTACATTAAAATGTTACAGTTACCCTTAAAACTAAGGGTAAATAAGCACAGAACTAGGGAAGGACTTCAGTAATCGTCTACACACTTTTCTTTCTTAGTCCCCACATTTAGTTTTCTGTATGCACAGTACAACAGTTTTGACATTCCTAACTGTTTCTAGAATTGCTGAAATAGAAAAATCCAGAAGAATCAAGACCAGAAATCTAAGAGCACTGATTTACTCATCTAAATAACAGTCCCGATACTCTGTAGTGAGTGAATTGATTGATTTATTTTCTAGAATCGTAGGAACACCTGTTGGTAGGGACCTCTGGCCCTTTCCCAGAGTCTCGAAGTATTTTTCTTGGATTTCTTTCCCGAACTTTGATTGTCACCAATAATCTGTTTAATATATTTATTTTCTGTCACATGTCCTTATTTTCATGTTCACTATTTTGAAGACTCACCTATCACCTCAGCTAGATTGTGTAATTCAACAGATATTAACAAAGCAAAGTATGGTGCAGATATATTACTCTATAAAGCTGATGCAGACAGGATTTAGGTTTGCTGGTACAAAGTATGTGATATTTGGAATTAAAGTCATGTTCAGTGACACTAACAATTATACCAAAACAGGAAAAAGAGGGTTCAAAAAAAAAAAGCATAATTCTTTATGCTCAGTTTACAGAGGGGGTCAATATTTTGTTGACAGTTTGGTTGTATAGTTTATGCCTGGATTGCACTAGGATAGCTTGAGGATGTATAGGACAGCAGAGAACTTGGATAACTGTATGACTGCCCATATATTCTTGAGTTTGGAGTTTTGAACCACATATTTTATAGATAAATTACACTTTAAACAGCATAGAAAATAAACGTTGTTTACAGTTTGTATTATATGATAAATGCTTTCTTAGAAAACTGAAATGTTTGAATTTAGCATCTAGAGATAGAAAAGCAGTCAAAAATTGAGGGAAAGAAAACCAGCATTACACACAGCTCTTAAATCTCTTGTACTAGCTAAGACAAGTTGTCATCACTAATTAGATCAGCTTCAAGAGATTAAACACCAAGCTTATTTTTCCATGGTGTCTAGTCCATTATAATAGCTATTTGTCTCCTTCTACCAGCAGGACTGGCCAAATAAATTACACCAGCCATAATTTTCTAATGTTTCTTTAGTCTTTTCTGAATTAGGAGGAGAGGCCCTCAGTCCCAGAAAGCTTGTATAAAAACTTTTGCCTTTATGGGGTTTTGATGGGACTTTTGCCTTTATGGGGTTTTGATGGGACTCTGAGGAAGTCTGAACCTTGAAGTAGGACCAGTTTTATATTCAGAATGAACACCTCCCAAACCATGAAAGTAATTCTAACCTCGATGTTCTGCTACAGCACAGACATTCCATTAAAATACACCAAATGCAGATCCTCCGGATGGTGCAGATAAACAAAAGTTTGGAAAACAAATCTTCTCCCTGTGTTCTATTTCCTTTCAGAATGAGCTCTCCTTCCAGATGCTCTGGAGCCCAGCAGCTTGCACTGCTTCCTGGGTTGCAGCAACCTTCACAGTGTCCCTCTGGGTCTCTAGGAATGTATCCTCTCCTTGACCTCCGAGCCTTGGCCCTGGATCTGCTCCTTTGCAACAGGCAAGACATGTGCTTTGTCAGGAGTCTTTCCATATGCATGCAGACATTGTAATCTCCTCATTTTCCTCCCCACAGTCCACCTGACCCAAACTGCCACAGCCAGGAAAAGCAGGGACAGCCCTTCTGCTGTTCTGTCATACCCTTTCAAACAAAGCAAGAAAAAAAAAACAACAACCACAAAATAGAGACTAAGCCAAGAAGAAAAAACTCGGTTTTGTCATCTGTCAGGCAAAAAAGCAGTCAAAATTGGAGGCAGTCTGTAGTGCCTCCATCCAAACTGCAGAGCCTTTCCTGGTTTTTTGGCTCTGATGTGCACCCTTTTCATTTTCCTACCTTGAGTAAGATTTGAGGTGAGACCTGGATTCATCAGCTCTCCCTAGACCCGGTTTCTGGGGAGACGGGATGCAAATATATGAGCCAGTGGTTCAGGCTTCTGCACATCCTCATCTTTCAGAGTGTGGATTACACTATCATAGTCCAGAATAAGGATGATATGACAGCTTGTATTAGGCAGTACAGAAAAGAGCAGATGGATAGATCCTACAAAATAATTAAAATATGCCTACCTCTTGTCTGATCTTTTAGTCACCTCTCACAGCTATTGATTAGTTGTCTGTCCAGCTCAAGGTACTGCTACCTGTTGTCATGGCATCTAACTGCCTCCTAAAATAATGAAATACAAGATTGATTCTAATCTGTGCACGTGGAAAACAAAGCATAACTTCAGAAAGTTTCTACTTCGGAAAAACTCAGTGAAAGTGGTGGCTATTACTAAATGTACCATTTTGTAGGAATATGTATGAGTTAAAGTTCTCACCTGAAGCAGGAGCAGTCTCTGGGATGTGCCAGAACAGTCTGTTGGATATTAGGAGAGAAAATAAACAAGAACCAGAAGTTGAAACCTTTTGGTAATAGGAATGCCTCTCCCATAACCATCCCTTAACTTTTTTGTAAGTTCAGAAGCCCTCATGGTGTTTTGTCAGATTTCAAAAACTGTATCAGTTAGGATAATCTGCACAAAACTGAGGAATTTCAAATCCCATTTTCTGTATTTTATCAGCTTCAACTTTGATTAACATGAGAGACCTTAGCTCTGCTGGGATTCACCGTGGCCTGTGTGATGCTGGTCCATGCTGGTCCATACCCTCCTCCTCACTGCTTCAGCTTTTATCTGTTTTGTGTTACCTTGTGCTTAAAGTAGACACATCCTGTCTTTACAGCCTTTCTGCTGCAAAGGCTTTTTCCTTGCTCATGTTTCTTCAGATACATTGTAAATTCTTTCTGAAGTGACCTTTAAAATCCATTCGGACCTAGTACTTTTTATCCATTGTAGCAAACATCTTGGCAGATACAAAGTCATTCGTTCCCAAAATGTCAAATATCAATGTATTTTTCTACAGAGAATTTCCATATGCCACATGTGTGATTTTTCACTGAAACCCACTGTGATACTGCCATTATGAAGCCATTGATAGCATTTAGGATATTTATCAGCTTCTATCAGCCTTTAATGAAACAGATTTCCAACTCCGACCTTTGCTTTTTAACAGCTGTTCATAGACTTCATACATTTTGGGGGGGATAAGGACCATTTACCAAAAAATTAAATTAGATCCCCATAGGTAGATGTTTCCAGGATCTGTAGACATGTTCATTTCACTTCCCAGTCTTCTCATTTCTCAAGGGAAATCCAAGACAGAGGCTTCAGAGATCAAACTGGAGAACACAGAATGTGTCCCACATGTTAGTATTCAATAAAGGGAGACAGGATTTCTCTAGAGAAATTACAATAGAAGCCTGTGCTAAAAGAACACAAAATTGCATTTTCTCTTTTAAATTTTAAATTTTTAAGTAGCTTCCAAGATGACAAGTATATACACACATATATCAGGAAGCTTTTTTTTCTTTGTAAGTGTCCTTCTATTTCCAAGATGTCTAGAGATCCTCTTTTCTCCATATCAGCAGAGGCAATGTGGCTAAGAAATTGAACAACTGTGATTAAAAATATACTAATCTTGCCCCCAAGTCTGAAAGCCCTCACAGATTTAAAATTGGAGAGAAAGAGACCCCATGAGAAAAAAAATCTGGGAAATCTTATCAAATTAGCTAATTAAACTGTGAGTATTCTCACTAGTTATAAAGGAGAAGTACAGATTTTTTTAAAAATATTTTTTTAGAGAGGGTAATGTGTAATTTTAGGTTTGGACCTTGTAAAATACCTACCAAGCTATACTAACAATGTAAATGAAAATATGTTATAAGCACAGTCATACTAAAAGACAGGCAAGGTATCTGCATACATAATATTGAAAGAAAAGGAGAATAGTGTGCTTCTATCAGCCCATCTCCTTCAATTTATCCAGCAGACTAGAAGAGTGTGATGGGACATATTAGGGTATCACAAACCCTTTTGGCAGTGACATCTGGAAAATCTCAAGAAGGAGCTTCATTTTCTAGAGTGAAAATATACTCTCTTGAGCCGTCCTCAGTGTTTGCTACAAGTCCTGAAGGCTCAAGTTTTCACTCAAACACAAAGGTAGGGAAAGGATGTGGACTAAGACATCTTTTCACTTGGGAAAATGCCAAGAAAGCCCTGGAAACTTACTGTAGTTTCCTCATAATGGAGGTCCTAGAAAATTTTTAAAATATATATAAATACATAAAATTCAGATTTTAAAGTCTTTTTTTATTCCCTTATTGATTTTTATATTGAGTTACTAACGTCTGACCCTATTCAGTTCATTTGGGTGTTTTCAATAGCTGTTGTTTACATCCTGCATTTTTAACTCTGATGTAATATTTCAGAGCATGAAAAGGCTATTATGGTAACAATGAACTTTCCTTCTTTTCCAGCATCCTTTTCCTGACCTCTCTTGAGTAATGCTCATGTGTTTATTATTTAGGTATGTCAGCATTACTAAGGCACAAGAAGGGAGGAGATCTGTATAGATTAGTAAATGCTGCTTATATGCACTTGTCAGAAGAACTGTTTGCTATGGCAGTTTTTTGCATATGCAGGTATAATATTTCATATTTTTGAAAAATTAAAATATATGTGAGAAATATCAGTTTACAGAGCACCTCTCATATGTCCACGATATTCCTCTGGAAAGTGTAATAGTGACAAAATTAATTTATTCCAAAGAATGACTGAAACTCTCAGTCATATTTGTTCTTTGAAATTTTAATCTCCTTTCACTTTGTTGCATGAAAGTTTATTTAATTTCATTTTGCTGATATACTTAATAACATTGAAATGAGACATTTCTTCTTCCATTTTCTCATAATATGGAAAATTCATTAAAATGTGAGAGCAGTGCAGTGGATGGAAAATTATTGCTTTCTCTCATAAACTTGGCCAAGAAAGGAAGAATGCTTACTGAAATAATCCCAGAATACAGCAATATTTTCAGACTGGACAGGTGCTAAGTATTTTGTTTTGTTAAGTTGGCTAACCTTCCATAAATCAAGTCTATCTCTTCCAAGGTTAGTTTTAACAGTTTCTGTCCAGGTTTTCAGTGAGCTACAGCAAAACAATCCTACCATACTTTTCAGATGATCAAATCTGCTTACTAATACTAAATTTTCAAGTAAGAACATAAATATTTTCTACTTTTTCAGAGTGAAATTCCATTACTTTTATACTTCTTAGACTGTTTTGTTTCTAAGAATTACAGGGTGAGCCTACATCGACATTTTAGCTCGGTTGTCATTTTTGAACCAAATTCCTTGATTATTCCTGTTTAATAATGCGTTTTTCATATTTACTGACTGGTCTTGGATCCCTACACAAACTGGATTTTAGAATGAAAGTGAGTAGAAGGTTATCTTTGGCAAGCATGAGTAGAACTAGACCAGCAATAAAGCCTGATATGTGTGACAGCCAGATCCTTCCTACAAACTCCTTCATTTTATTAGTTTGCTCATATTGGTCTGTGCTACTTGCAAATGTGGACACTATTTTTAACTGGACTTTGATTTCCTAGACCCTCACAAGATGTAGAACCAAATTCAAATACGATATAGGAAATAAAAATGTCATCATGTTTGGGACTCATGAAAATTTTATTAATTGATTATCTGCATCTTTAAATGCCTAACTATCTTCAAAATTCAGAACCTTCTATTTCTGTGATGCACTTCCACTTTCTAAAAATAAGGATAAATAATAATACCCAGTTTGACAGGATCTGATGAGGATAAATACATCAAAAATTGTGAGCTGCTCAAATTATGAAATGAGAGGGTTGAATCATAGATTGCTTTCATATCAGAGATCAAGGTTAAACAAAGGCTAAAGCTCTGCATACATGATTTGCAAATGCAGTTATGCTAATAGCATGATGATCTTAATTAGATGATCAGCTGCATATCTGACTTTTGATAATAAGTCCTAATGTGACTTGCTAATCAATGTCAGGTATGGGAATAGAATGTAGAATTTCTGACTTGTGAATCCGTGCACTAATTGCTAAACCAGACTGCCTTCCCAACGTCATCCCTCATTGCAAAATGTTCTATCTCCTCCTTGTACTCATATAATGTATTATTTCAACAGCTTTCTGTAGATCCTCAGACTGTTAAGACCAGAAGATTCCTCTATAATCATATTTTTGAGCTTCTAAGTAACAAGGACCAAAAAATATCCTGCTATTTCATAGTGGAGAAATTATTAATTTTTCTTACCATAAATTGACATTATCATACTAAATTTTTTTTCCTGGGCTGTGGAACATTCTTTTCAAAGACACATAATTTTGACTTCAAGATTCCAAATGATGATGGGTTTGTCACTTCCCATGAGAAGAAATGTCAGTCATTAATTGCCCTCCATCTAGCAAGATGCTCAAAATAAGGTCAGATTCATTATGTTTTCAAAAGTTGCACTTAATTGGCAGTTTATATATTTCTGACTTCTGCTTTCAGCCTCAGTAATATCTTGTTATGCCTTTAACTGCTAGATTAAACATTCCTACATCTCAGATAATAGATTGCCGTATAAAGCAGACTATGAAAGAAAAGTAGTAGCTTTAATCACATTGCTTAAGTCACTGTGGGAAGCAGTTCTGATAGCTAAGAAAATAATAGAATTATTTTTGCTTCAAATGTTTCGTTTTTCTCTTTAATTCAGCAATATTACAGACAAATCCTAGAAAGCAACTATTACAAAAATGCATTTTAAAGTGAAAGATTTGCCTGAATTAATTTTCCTTTCAAATGGACCATCCTTGTATTCTATGCCAGAAGACCAGGCAAGGAAAGGGAAGAAGCCATTTTTCCTCCTTGAAACCAAATTGTGTAGTTGTCATCTGTTTCTTTGGGTTTTGTCAGCCCATCAGAAAACCATCTTAACAACTGTGATTCCCATTAATTAGCTCACTGGAATAAATACAGCTGTCAAAGCAAAATAGGGTATTGTGGAATTTGCACACACAATAAATCATTACCCCTTCAAAGGATGAATGCTAGAATTAATAAAATTTTAAAAGTACATGAAGCTGACATCACACACTGAAAAATGCTTAGATTCAGCACACTGAATCTAATCTTTGTTTACATAAAGTATTGCATGAAATAGAACCAAAATTTCCTATCAGGGTGATGTTTGTGTATAAAATTGCTCTTAATTGAGAATATTCATATAAAACTGAAGAATAAGAAGTTAAAGTACTGAAACACAAAAGAAGTTTCTTTTTTTCTTCTGAATGCATAGTACTACATACAATGGTACATGTGATAATATGTGCAAAACCCAAAATCTATTAAAATATCTGCTATTCCTGTATTTAATTTTATCTCTACCAAATTAAGTGTTAATAGATTGTGGCCTAAT